GAAGTACACGTTTAAGGGTTAGGTTTACACAGTTTAAGGGGCCCCTTTCTCTGTCATTCATATCTGAAGTCGTATCAACGTAAGGCGGCCGGTTCATTTTGAAAGGTCTGTCAACACATTCGAATGGATGAAAAGATGGACCGACAGCGTTTATTTAATGTGCAGTCCATTTGGCACCTCATATACCTGTGTGTTGGGGTTCCCTTATAAATGATTATGACCATGAGGCACTGCAAGGGTACCACATGTTACCATGGAACCCATAGGTGTTAAGGGGCCCAAAGGGTTAGGTTTTGGGGTTATGGTTTTATAGTAGGGCTATAGGGCTAGGTCTAGTTTAGGGTAAGGGTTGGGTTTTGGGGTTAAGGATGTATAGTAGGGTTATAGGTCTAGTTTAGGGTAAGGGTTGGGTTTTGGGGTTATGGTTTTATACTAGGGTTATAGGGCTAAGTCTAGTTTAGGGTAAGGGTTGGGTTTTGGGCTTAAGGATGTATAGTAGGGTTATAGGGCTAGGTCTAGTTTAGGGTAAGGGTTGGGTTATGGTTCTATGGTCAGGATTAAGGGTTAGGTTTTGGGGTTATTGTTTTATGATCAGGTTTAAGGTTTTGGTGAAGTTTAGGGTAAGGGTTGGGTTTTGGGGTTAAGGATGTATAGTAGGGTTATAGGGTTAGGTCAAGTTTTTAGGGTAAGGGTTGGGTTTTGGGGTTATGTTCATATGGTCAGGATTAAGTGTTAGGTCAATTTTAGGGTAAGGGTTGGGTTTTGGGGTTTAGGTTTTATGGTCAGGTTTAAGGGTTAGGTCAAGATTAGGGCAAGGTTTGGGTTTTGGGGTTAAGGATTTGTAGTAGGGTTATAGGGTTAGGGTTAAGTCAATTTTAGGGTAAGAGTTGGGTTTTGGGGCTATGGTTAGATTTAAGGGTCAGCTCAAGTTTAGGGCAAGGGTTGGGTTTTGGGGTTAGGCTGAAGTTTAGGAGTACATCTTAAGTTAGAGGGATCCTGTGATTTTTCCCAAGGATGGTAAACCCAGAGGCCACGGGAGTGAAGAAAGTACTCGGGATATGGAGGAATTTGTGACTCGCTCCCCTTTCTTCCAGGTGGCAATGCTTGATGATTGGCCCAGCCCCGTCACATGGGGCGGGCGTAGAGCTCGTAGCCCTGTGTAAGCTCAGAAAAGTTGTCTATGAGCTGTGGCTGGGCTTCTATTACATGTAAAGGGGGTAGAGGGGTGGAGGAGGGGAGGTAACCTCTCTTTGCTCTGTATAGGCAAGAAATAAGATCACTTATAAGTCAGAGGTTGTGATAAGTTTCCATCAAACTTCTGGGGATGTTTCTGTATTTTTCGGTGCGGTTGGTCAAACCAGCATTTTAAAAATGTTTAACTTTGTAAATGTCATGGCCATTGGGGGTTCCTGTGTGAAAAGGGCCGGGCCCGGTCTATAGCGCCATTCATGTATTTGTATTTCAATTGTGATGCCAGTTCCCGGTCTATGTATGAGTATGTGACATGGAACTCTCCTCTGTCTCCACCAGGAGGTCATCCAGGATTTCCAGGCCTCCGTCCTGCAAGTCTCAGACTCTCCGTATGATGAACAGTAAGCATTGAATATGGAACGGCCTCCATGACTGACAACATGTCCTCCGCAATGGCGGCTCTCGTAACACCAATCTATTCTATTCTCATTTAAAACATTAAAAAAACATATATTGTTCATTCAGTGACATATAATCCGGCAATGTTTCCGGCATTCCCGTCCTCGGTCACTATAAAGACGATGGAACGATCTGTGACGTAGGAAGAAGAAACTGGAAATGACGTGAAAGAGATACAGAGTGATGATTGGATATCAGAGAAATACAAAGTAACACTATAAACCAACAACAGTTGTATCGTCTGATCTGCACACAGGGGGAGTGTTTCCTAATCTCAGAGGAATCGGCAACAAAGAGAATAAACAAATATACTTCAAAGATATAAAAAAGATGAAAGGAATGACTTCCTTCTGTACCGGTGTTGTTGGTTCATATTGTTACTTTCTTTATAATCCAATCATTACGTTCTATCTCTTTCATGTCATTTCCAGTTTTTTTTAAACTTTATATATGTCATTGTTTGATCTGTCGTCTCCATGGTGACCGAGGAGAGAGAAACATTGCCAAGCAATAAATATTATCTCTCTCTTTCCTCTCTCTCTCTCCCCCCTCTCTTCTCTCTCCCCCCTCTCTTCTCTAAATGGCTACAACACAGACTATGGCGCTGAGAGACTGCGTATCCCCGAGGGGCTCTTTGACCCCTCCAATGTGAAGGTGAGGTGTACTGGTCCATCTCTTCCGGCAGATGGAAGGCCGTCGCCCCTCCCTATAGTGGAAGTACTCTCAGCGATGGGAGTACAGGCCTCTCTGTCCTGGTGAAGTTACACATTGATCATTGATGACATTTCCGGAGATCCCGCAGAGAAAATCCACCAAAAATGGGCCCAAATACCTGTGATACATGGAGGAGGAGGAGGAGGAGGAGGGCGGGGGGATACCCTGCGGGGGGCGCTTTGTAAATGTTCTTCTCTTTTCAGGGTCTCTCTGGTAACACCATGTTGGGGGTGGGACACGTGGTGACCAGCAGTATCGGGATGTGTGACATCGACATAAGACCGGTGAGTACATCTAAGGGAGGGGTAAGGCAACTCAGCATTCCAATTGTTGTAAAACTACACATCCCATCATGCCTGCGCCTCGGGTAGTCATGCCTGTGGCTGTCAGTCTTGCAATGCCTCATGGGACTTGTAGTTTTCACCAAACCTGGGGGGCCGAGGTTGCCTCCCCCTGATATAAGGTGGACCTGACCCCAGAGGCCGTTCTCAGCCATGTGCCCGGGGCGCCCTCTTGTGGAAGGTTTATTTGTGAGCCCATCATCTGCACTATCTGCCCCCCCCAGCCAGGCGCTGATCTCCGGAGGAGGGGCACCCGCGGGGGTCATGGGGTCTTCTACAGCCCTACAATCCAGGAGCTTCTGAGGGGTAAAACCTCAAATGGCCCCCTTTCAGACTCAAGTAGGAAGAGCCCATCCAACATGTATTTTTGTCTTTTTCTCAAAAAACTTTATTGTAACATTGAGGAGTTCACAACAACAAGCTCAAGCTCATTGGCCCCCAGCAGACCTCGCTCCTCTGCTGACGCATTTCACTCCAGATGGCGCCGAGTCATAGAGGTGATATTTTGGAATATGATCCGGATGTTTCTACACATCATCAGTTGTATCCCAATGTTAAATCTAGCAACGGTCAGGTTTCTAGGACCAGATCTGAAGGATTCCCCTCACTTCCTGTTGTGTCACTGGGACAGGAGATGAAGGGGAAATCTCCCCAATGTGGACACAGACCGATAAAAGCCGGCACGTGATAAACGTCCTGATGTGAATGTGACTTTCCCTGTCCCTGTGTTGTGTCTCGGCAGGGTCTGTACGGCAGTGTCATTGTCACCGGTGGTAACACGCTCCTCCAGGGCTTCAACGACCGGCTGAACCGCGAGCTGTCACAGAAAACACCGCCGGTAAGAGGCCCGGGGCCGCCATTCCCCAGAAACAGCTTCACACACCATGTGACCACCGGCTCTTGGGAGGAGTTATGCAAATGTCCAAATGCTGCCATGGGTGGGTGTCAGTCTGGAGAAGTGGGCGGTCCTAGCCAGGATGTATTTACATGCAGACCATAAGAAGAGCAGCAGATGCAATGTATAAGTGGGAGTGGAGACAGACCAGCAACGTTTCGGGGGGAAAAGGTCCAGCAAAGTTTTGGGGAAATGGACATGCAATGTTTGGGGAGAAGGTTCAGCAACAATTTTTTGGGGAGATGGACCAAAAACATTTCTGGGAGAAGGTTGCAGCAACATTTCGGGGAGACAGGGTTTCAGGGATATGGTCCGGCAATGTTTCGGGAAGACTGACCAGTAACGCTTTAGGGAGGCAAACCGGCAATGGTTGAATTAGAAGGTCCAGCAATGTTTATGGGGAGAACAGGCCCGGATTCCCCACAAGGCCACCGGGGCCCGGCCTCGGGGCGGCAGGGCGCAGAGGGGCGGCAGCGGTGTCCTTGTGGGGAAGTTGCCCTCTCTACATTCAGTCCTGCTTTGTACAAGCCGAGCTAACTGTAGAGTGAGGCAGCCGATTTTTTTCTTGCACCGGGGGCCCTGAGGTTTCTAGGTACGCCTGCGATAGGTCAGCCATGTTCCTGTCCGGCTGATTCATGTATATGGGGAGGAGGTGCGCACGTCGCTCAGCTTCCTCAGAGAGCCAAGCAGGAGGGATGATTGTACTTGTAGTTCAGCTTTGTGATGATTGAGCCGGGAAGGAGAGTTCAGGAATGAATGAGGACGGAATGAATGTGCTCATAGTTCATATGGATGTCTATCTCTGTCCTCTCCCCGCAGAGCATGCGTCTCAAGCTCATCGCCAGCAACAGCTCCATCGAACGCCGCTTCAGCTCTTGGATTGGGGGCTCCATACTCGCCTCTCTGGTATGTAGAGTCCCCCCTTAACCCCTTCATGGCCGGGGGCATTCCTGATCACATCAGATGATTACAGAGCTGCATTCATTTGTTGTCCTTTATATCTGGCCAGTGAGGTTGAGATTTACATTCTTAAACATATTGTTTTCCTATCTATATCACCGTGATAAATTCTTCCCCTGTGTCATTATGGGGGACACCCCCAGCAGGTCACCTTGGTGATCACCAGAGCACCCCACAGTCAGCAGCTTTGCTGCAAGATGTCACCAGGTTCCGATCCTCAGGATTTCCCCACCAAAGGGATCTCAGGAACAGGGTGGCAGTGGCGCACGATGGGTTATAGCTGGTTAAGGTTATGGCTGCGGTGAAGGCAGGTGGCAGGCATGAGTAGTCAGAGAACAGGCAGAGGTCGAGGCAGGCAGCAGGCAAGAGTGGTCATTGTCAGGGCAGGCAGCAGGCAATAATAATAAGTGTCCTGGCAGAGGTCAAGGTGGCAGGCAAGAGTGATTTGAGTCCAGACAGACGTTGAGGCAAGTGACAGACAAGAGAAGTCAGAGAACAGGCAAGGACCAAGCAGGCGGCAGGCAAGGGTAGTCAGAGTCCAGGCAGAGGTCAAGGCAGGTGGCAGGGAAGAGTAGTCATTGTCAAGGCAGGCAGCAGACAAGAGTAGTCAGAGTCCAGGCAGAATTCAAGGCAGGTGGCAGGGAAGAGTAGTCATTGTCAAGGCAGGTGGCAGGCAAGAGAAGTCGGAGTCCAGACAGAGGTCAAGGCAAGTGGCAGGCAAGAGAAGTCGGAGTCCAGGCAGAAGTCAAGGTGGCAGGCAAGAGAAGTCAGAGGTCAAGCTAGGAAGCAGACAATAGTAGGCAGGACACACAGGCAGAGTCAGGTGGGTCAGTATCAAACACGGCAGGAATTAATAATCTTACGAACAAGCTAACTAGTCATGTGTGACTTGCTGTATGCAGATGGCACAGACCAAGCCCCTGAATGTACAGACGTGGCCCCCGGAGGTATTGTAACAATTAGTTGTTTTTTTATTATAAGGAACAATGTAGCAAAGGAGAGCCTGGAAACATGAACAAAGGGGACAAGAGTGCCACCCGCTGGGCAAAAATAGGATTGCGTAATCATTAATCTGCAATGGTTGACACCTCAGATTTATCAGATTTAAGGATTTCTGACATTGTTATCTTAGTTTGTGACGTAATAAAGAAATACTTTCACTTTAGGAGACGGAATTGTGCGTTATGCGTCTGTTGTCGGGTTTATTGCTGTGTTAGGCCCATCCTTCCCGTCTCATGCGTTGTGTCTCTCCGCAGGGCACCTTCCAGCAGATGTGGATCTCCAAGCAGGAATACGAAGAGGGAGGGAAACAGTGCGTGGAGCGCAAGTGTCCCTGAGCCCATCCATCCCAGAACGCTGCGCCATGATACCCTCACCGAGCTACATCACCGCCTGCAGACATCCATTCTACCGTCCGTCCCTCCCCCCCAATGTCAGGTCCACACATCACATTGCAGCACATGATCCAGAAACGCTGGGTGTTAAAGGAGAACTCCACCAAGCATTCTTGGAGCCCCTATGGTATTATTTCCTCCAATGGGGAGGGCTGAACTTTCAGCTATGAGGTGAAAACTCTACAAATCCTAACCA